GTTGGGGTTGCCAAAGGCCGGGCAAGCCTTGGGTTAATTATTATGCAAATGAGGGGCGTGGCTTAACGCCCCCCACCTCTTTTCTCGCCCTCTGCTGTTTCCTACCGCTAATTACCCGCCGCCGTCGGTGGGGGTTGGGGGGGGGTCAAGGACAGGTGGGCAGCAGCCTGGCCTCGTCCCCCCCACCCCGTTACAGCGGATCCCGACCTTGTGCCCCCCCCGCCAAGGCTGGGAACGGCCCAGGTGCGGCTTTTCGCATGGAGGGGGGGGAGAACGGGACATCGCGTCCCTTTGCGGTGACATCTGGTTCCGCTCCCAGGGTTGGTGGTCCCGAGGGGGTGGGGGGGGGGAGTGGGGGGAGGTCAGGCTTGGCCAGCTGGGTCCCTTCCCAGAGGGTTGCACATCGAGTGGGAGCAAACACGTGGTGGTTCCCCCCAACCCCCCCCCCTCCCCTTTCCCGCATCCTTGGGATCGGGTATATTTGGGCAGCGGATGCGGGGAGGGCACGACGGGATGGCGGCGGTTGTGATTGCGGTGCTGGCGGCGGTGCTGGCGGTGTGCGGGGCTCAATGCCCGACCCCGGCCGATCTGAAACCGGCTAACGGTACGCGGCTCTGCGCTCAGCTCTACACCGAGGACAGCGTTTACTACGAGCGATGCTGCGCCGGCAGTTCGCTGGCGGTGCCTCCAGGTGCCGACGTTCCCTACATGCCCACGGGTTGGGCTGGTGAAGTTTCCTCGTTGGTGGTGGGAACACGTTGTGAGCTGACGGTGTGGTCCAGGGCTGGGAAAGAAGGGAACAAAAAGAGCTTCTCGGCAGGAGCTTTCCCGAGGCTGCAGGAGGTTCGAAGGGGGCTCTTCCGGGACTGGAATGATGCCATCAGGTCCTACTACTGCAAGTGCAATTGAGGAGGGCAACGGGGCTGCTCAGGGCTGCTCCATGAAGCGTGGGTCAACATGGGGCAGAACCAGTCAACGTGGGTCAACATCAGTCAACGTGGGTCAACATCAGTCAACGTGGGTCAACATCAGTCAACGTGGGTCAACGTGCACCAACATGGGGTAACATCAGTCAACGTGGGTCAACACGGGGCAGAACCAGCCAACGTGGGTCAACATCGGTCAATATGGGTCAACACCAGTCAACGTGGGTCAACATCAGTCAATGTGGGTCAACACGGGGCAGAATCAGTCAACATGGGTCAACACGGGCTAGAACCAGTCAACGTGGGTCAACGTGAGTCAACATGGGGCAGAATCAGTCAAGGTGGGTCAACCCCAGTCAACATGGGTCAACATAGGGCAGAACCAGTCAACGTGGGTCAACCCGGGGCAGAACCGGTCAACGTGGGTCAACACCAGTCAACATGGGTCAACCCAGGGCAGAACCGGTCAAGGTGGGTCAGCCCCAGTCAATGTGGGTCAACCCGGGGCAGAACCGGTCAACGTGGGTCAACCCGGGGCAGAACCGGTCAACGTGGGTCAACCCCAGTCAACGTGGGTCGACACACCCCAAGATGAGGTAACAACAGTCAATGTGGGTCAACAAAGGGCAGCATTCATCAACGTGGGTCAACGTGCACCAAGATGGGATAAAACAGTTGATGTGGGTCAACACCAGTCAACGTGGGTCAACACAGGGCAGTGTTTGTGAACGTGGGTCAACATGAATCAACGTCAGTCAACACCAGTCAACGTGCACCAACATAGGGTAAAACAGTCAACGAGGGCCAACACCACTCAACGAGGGCCAACACCACTCAACGAGGGCCAACACCACTCAACGAGGGCCAACACCACTCAACGAGGGCCAACACCACTCAACGAGGGCCAACGTGAGCCAACGTGCACCAAGATGGGGTGAAACAGTCAACACCAGGCACCGATCATCAGCGTGGGTCAACAGCATTTAACGTGAGTCAACCCTCATCAATCTGGGTCAACGCAAGCGAGTGCAGCTCGACGCAGGCTGGGAGGAATCAGCGTGGGTCAACGTTGGTCACCAGCAGCCACGGCCTCATCCTGCAGCCCAGCACCTCACGCTGAGTGGATGCAGATCACCAACAGCTGTCGCACGCCCAAGTGAGCCCACGTGGACCAACGCGAGGCCCTGATGTGAGCCAACGCACGCCAACGTGTCTACAGGATCAGAATCAGCCCCTGCCTGACCCCACGGACCACAAACAGGTCAGCAGTGAGAGGTGGGCACGTGGCAACGCCAGCCCCCCCCTCCCCCTTCGTGCCCCCGACCCCACACAGCTCTGAGCGCAGCCAATAAAGCCTTGAGGATGTGCAGCTCCTGCCTTGCCGCTACTTTATTTGGGGGGGGGATGAGGCAGAGGCAGCAGCAGCAGCAGATTTAGGGTGATCTCAGGCAGGTCCCCATAACCACCACCCCACGGTGCCTCCACCACCCTCCCCAAAAACCACAGTGGGACACGGCGCTCTCCAAAAGGACACGTGTAATCTCCAGGGGGCCCCATAGCAACCCTGGGGCACTCCAGCACTGTGGCATTACAAAACGACAATATAAATAGCTTTGTTTAAAAAACAAAACAGAAACAAACGAACAGACAAACAAACAAACAAACAAAAAAAAGTGTTGGGAGGGGGGGGACGGGGGGACCCAGATCAGTAGTGTGGCCTTGGGGGCTGTAGTGTTGGGGTGGGGAACTGGATGCGTCCCTCCTGCAGGGCACAGGCAACGGCCCGCCCCTAGGGCCAGAAAAGGATAGAAAAAGATTTAAGAGGGGAAAAATAATAATAAAAATGAGGAGTGGGGACTGAGTTGAGATGGGCCCAAAGGGATCCCAGGGTGGTGATAACAGCAGATCCTGAGCAGTCAGGAAAAAAAAAAAACCCCCCGGTCCCCAAGCCTCTGAGGGGAAGGATTAGGGACAGGGTTGGTGCCGTCGCGTGGCCACACTGCTGTCCCCTGCCAGCCTCCCCCTCCCTGCACGCTCCCGACTCAGTAGTACGGTGTGTGTGGGGGGGCCAGGACCCCCCCCCAGTGCCCCCACAGTGGGGCACGGTCACAAATCCAGTTAGAGGCGACGGTGAGGGTGGCAGCGGGGCTCCTCACCGCATGCGGTTCTGGCGCATGAGGGGCACGATGCAGGAGGGGGGGCCTGCTTTGCCCAGGAAGGGATGCTTCAAGAGTTCGTTGGCTGTGGCCCGTTGCACCGGGTCCCGCACCAGCATGCGGTCCAAGAAGCCCTTGAGAGAGGGGGAGACCTGAGGGGGCAGAGCAGAAAGGGGGGGGGATCAGTGTGGGGGGGGGGGGGTTGAGCGAGGCTGCCCAATTCCAGCTGCCCAGCCACTTCCCCTTTTTTACCTTGTGCACGTTTTTCAGTTTGGGGGGCAGATTGTCTCGGATCATTTTCATGGCCTTTAACGGCGGCTCGTTAAAATACGGCGGCTCCCCATCGACCATCTCGATCACCATCACACCCAGGGACCAGATATCCACCTGCGCAGGGGAGGAGGGATATTCGTGTGGGGTTCATAGGTGGGCTGACATCCCCCCAACCCCCCTGCATCCCTACAGCCTCCCCTCCTTTTCTGCAGGCTCACCTCTGGGCCGTAGGGCAGACGAGAGATGAGCTCTGGTGCCATCCAGTACGGGGTCCCCACCAGCGACTTCCGCCGTGGCACCTCTTTGTTCACTTGGGCACAAAACCCAAAATCAGAGAGTTTCACCTGGAGGCCGGAGAAGGCAGCTCATGAGAACGCTGTGCTGCCCAGCACCAGGGTGCAGCTGGCCGATGCTCCCGTTCTCAGTGCTGCCTTCCAGGATCAACCCTTGCCCTGTGATTTTCTCCAGGTTGCCTCATAACCCCCCTCCGCTTCTTGTGGAGCATCAGGTTGCAGATGTAAAAGCCTCTAAAAGCTCCTCTGGCTCCTTTGTAATCAGAAGCATGAAAGCACAGAATGGTTGGAAAGGATCCTAAAGATCACAGAACCACGGAATCCTACAAGGGTTGGTTGGGTCGCAATGGACCCCAAAGCATCCCCAGCCCCAACCCGTGCTGTGAGCTGCATGCTTCCTATGAGCTCAGGCTGCCCGGGGCCCCATCCCTGGCCTCAGGCACCCAAAAAGAGATGAAGCACCCACAACTTCTCTGGGCAGCAATGCCAGAGCCTCACCACACTGAGGTTTCCTCCTATTGTCTAACCTAATTTCTCCTCTTTTAGTTTAAAACCATTCCCTTCGTCCTGTCACTGTTAGACCATGTCAGAAGTCGGTCCACCTCCAACCACAGCACCTTTGGTGTTTGTGTTGCTGGTGTTTTCTGGTGGTGTTTTGGAGGCAGAAAGAACACGCTTGGCTTTGGCACCTCCAGGAAACTGATGGAACACCAGAGAAGGATTTGGGGGCTCAGAGTGGCCTCTGGTTGAGGCTTAAAGCCACTTGAGGTGCCTTGAGGAGGCACGGTGCTGCACGTGTGCCAAACTTAATACAAGAGCCACTCTGATGGTGTTTGCCACCCAGCTGGATCCCATCCAGACTTCCTGATGAGACCCTGATGCCGTCAGGGCAGGGGAACAGTAGTTGGGCCACACGGTGGCAGTGACACTTACTCTGCCGTCGTGCGTCAGCAGGATGGAGTCACTCTTGATGTCGCGATGGATGACACCCTGTGCATGCAGCACAGACAACGCCTTCAGCACGGCCAGGCAGACAGCTGCAATCTGCTCCTCGTTCATCCTGAAGGAGGGAGAGGGTCAGGGGTGGGTGGTCAGGGGGCCAGGAGGGGCTGGGGGCCCTGGGCACGTACCGGGTGTGCGTCACGATGTCGGTCAGCGCGCCGCCCTCCAGGAACTCCATCACCACCCACAGCTCGTCGCCCACCAGGTAGCTGTTGTACATCTCCACCACGTTCTCGTGTTGGTAGTCCCGCATGATCACCACCTGCAGGCAGAGAGGGGTGAGCTCGGCGCTGCTCATCTCTTGGGGATGGGTTTATTGGGGTGGGTGGGGAAGGGGCTCGTTGGTGGGCAGTTGTAATTTGGCCTTCTCCGGAAGAGTGAGAAGAGCCACGGGGTGGAAACAAAACTCCCAGTGCAAAACACCACGAGCAGCAGCCCCAGCTGCTCCCAGACCCGCAGCAGCTGTATGTGACACCCAGTACAGGTGCTGTGTGAGCCCCAGGGCACGGTCCCTGCTCTGCTCTGCCCATACCTCATTGAAGAGCAGCTCACGCCGCTGCTGCTTGCGCAGGTCCATCTTCTTGACAGCCACCAGCTTGCCGCTGCTCTTCACGGTGGCGATGCAAACGATGCCAGTGGATCCCTCCCCTATTTTGATGAAGTTGTCCAGATAGGTACGGGGGTCTCCCGGATCCACCACCATTTGCAGAGCTGCCCGGAATTGTTCGTGGGAAACGCGTTGGGGCTCTCGTTGGGGTGAGCGGGGCTGCTGTGGGCCGACGGCAGGGGGTGGGGGGCCAGGTTGTGGAGGACGGGCCAGGTGGGGCTCGGAGGCGTGTGGGGTGAGGCCAGCGGGGGGCTCAGGGACCTTGGAGCGGGGTGGGCCAGAGGGCTGGGCTCGGGAGGAGCTGGCGGTGTTGCTTGCTGGCCCATTGGGTGCTGCCTCCTGCGGTCGGCCCGGCCGGGGTTCAGCCTGCAAAAAAAAAAAAAAAGGGAAGAGGGCTGTTAGAGCCACGAGGGATGGTGTGGAACATTGCTGCTGGCCCCAAAGCACCGATGATGCCACCGTGTCCAGGCATTAGCAGAGCTGGACGATGTCGGAGGAACGAATTATTGCACCGGATGGGTTTGAAGGAGCAAGGACAGCGAGGAATGGGGATAGATGACCACAGGCGGCCGCTTCGGAGACCAGAGAGGAAAGAGGAGAGAGCGAGGAGCCGTGGCACAGCCCCAAGGGAGGAAAGCACAGAACAGACGCAGCCCCTGCAGTGCTGGTGGTCTTCAACACAGTCTTAACTGAAGCGAAGAAGCCCGTTTAGCCGGCGCTGGCTTAGGAAGCGGAGCAGAGAGGCTGCTGTTGTAGGAGGCGGAGGCCAGGCAGAGTGAGGAGAGCCCTCCAGGCTCAGGGGGAAGGAGAGATCTCTGCTAAGCGGAGTGGCTCAGAGCAGGGGGAGCGGAGGAGCCTTTACCTGTGCACCCGCACCCCGGACGGGGTCGGTCTCAGCCCGTGGGTAGGTATTAAAGGGTCGTCCAGTCTGCTGGGCTGTCTTCATCACCCCTTCGGACACTGGGATGTTGGGAGTCCGGATATTGGGCCCGGAGAGAGGGCGTTTGTCACGGGGGGACTGAGGGCTGCTTTCGTTGCCGTAGGTGGATTTGGGCCGCTTGTCGCACGGCTCGGGGCGCTCCCGTCGCACCACGCGCTCGTCCCGCTCGCTGCAGTCCCTGTCGGCGGGGCCATCCCGTTCAGGGGGGGGTTTGGGGTACTCAGGAGGGGGTGGGCGATTGCTGGTTCTGGGGCCGGGCTCCTGCCCTCGGGGCCGTTGTGGGTCCCGTTCGCGGGGTCGTTCCTTGCCCCGGTCGGGTTCGCCACGGGGTGCGGGGCAGCTCTTCTCCTTGCTGCGGCCAAAATCCTCGGAAAGGCCGTTCTCCTGGCAGAGCTGGTCACGCCGGGGTGGGAAAGGGGGGCTGTCCCTGCGCAGAGAATTGGAACGGGACACGGACATGTTCTCAAATTCATCCAGCAGCCAGGTCAGTGAGCCGTCCTTGGCGGCTTTGGTGCCCCGTACGATGGTCTTTTGTGCAGGACGTGGGACGAGAGGTAGACAGGAACACGGAACACGAAACAGAACAAAAAGAAAAAGAAAAAGAAAGAAAGAAACAAACAAAACAAAACAAAATATGAAAGAAAATAAAACAAAAATAAAAATGAAATGCCTGGTGGTGACGGGGGCGGCTCACACAGACGGGACGAGGGGAGGGATGGGATCTCCGCTGACACACGACGAACAGAGCACTGTTAATATTGGTGGCCCCATGGGATTCACACACAGATGGGGATGCTGGAGGCCAGGAGGAAAGCAGCTCTGGTGTCCCCACAGCCTCAGGGATCTGCCCATGCTGTCCTGAGCCCCTCCAGGAGGTAGGAAACGGAGCAGGAATCAGACCCAGCTGTCTCACTCCTCCCATATGGGCCAATATGCCAGGCTGAGCCCTGTGAGCGGGGGCTCGTGGGAAAGGGTCCTGGGGGGGCTGCTGCTGGTTCTGGCTCTGCCTTGAGGCTTGTGGCACTTGGCCAGGACCCGGAGTGCAGGGGGCTTTGTTTGGCCACAGACATAATCATCAGAAACCACGCAGCGGCAGCAGATTTCACTCCCAGTAGAAGCCTGGCTGGGGGCCAACACAGCAAAACTCCTGCTGGGGCACTGCTCCTCTGTTATCACAGCCGAGCTTTGCTATCAGTTAGAGGGGGAGGCAGAAGGGTATTAAAGAGGGTTACTGTGCTGCCTGGGCTTTGCAATCATCTCCAAATTCTCCAGGAAGGACGTGCAAACCTTTTCTCCACAGAATGGCCAGGGTCGGAAGGGACCTCAAGGATCACGAATCTCCAACCCCCCTGTCACAGGAAGGGCCACCAATCTCCTCATTTAATGCTACACCAGGCTGCCCAGGGCCCCATCCAACCTGGCCTTGAACACCTCTAGGGATGAGGCATCCACAGCCTCTCTGGGCAGCTGTTCCAGCACCTCACCACTCTCATAGCAAAGAACTCCACGATTCCATGCTGCCCGGCAGCACCACAGCTGCTCACCACGCTGCATGTCTGCAAGCCCTTCTCCTTCTAGAAGCCATCAGCTCCTCAAGGCTTCTCTGCCCATTCCCTCCTCTGGCTGGTACTGACTTTTGAGCTCAGCCTGAGTGAGACTGAGCAAAGGGGACTGCTGCCAGGATCATCTGTAAAGCAAAAGCCCTTGCACCGTGCCCTGACTCTCCTTCTGCAGTTCAAGCCATCGGGATTTCTTCCTGACTCCTGCCAAAGTCCATCTCACCCAAATGGGGGGCAAAGGATGGCCCCAATAGTGTCGGTGCCTTTTCTGATCACCAACTGAGAGCAGCCAGGTGGAGCAGAAGGGAGCAGAGTCAGGGACCTAGGGAGGGTGAAGGCAGAGGAACACCAGAGCTAGGGCACAGAGATGGTGCGGGTTTCCTCAATCGAGGCAAGCAGACGAGCCAGACTTAAAATAATGACATAAGGGTGGCTTGGGGAAACAGGCAAAGGGAGAGGACGGGATGGGAAGGGACAGGCACTGCTCTGGTCGTGTTTTCCCCTGGGATTTTTTTTTTTTTTCCAGTGTCCAGGGGAATGCAATGGGGCGAGGAAGGGGAGAAGCTTTGCTCTACACTTATCTTCCTCCCACGTGGGAAGGAGTGGGTACATGAAAAAGCAGCAGGTAGTGGAGCACACTGAAAGGTTTCAGGAACCTAACGGCCACACTACCTGCTCCGTGGCACCCCAGGGAGAGGGCACAAACACCTCCCAAAACAATTCCATCACCCCTCAGCCCTCAATTGCTCCCCTCAGCACGTTGCAGAGGTGTTTACCTTCTGTGAGCCGTGCTGGATGGCTGTGATACACACGGGGTCCACCAGGGGTTTGGGCCTCTTGGCAGACTCCTCGATGATGCCCTGCCATTGCCGTGGCAGCCCTGTGAACTTCTGCTCCTGCTGGTCGTACCCGGTGTGGACACGGTGCTCGAAGTTGGAGGGCGCGGAGATTTCAATGCGTTTCTTCTTCTTGCTGAACATGGTTAAGAGTGGTTAGAAGACCTGAGGGGACAAAGAGAGGACACAGTGAGGTCTGGAGGAGGACAGAAGTGGTGAAGGCTGTAAAACAAGCATCCCTTCTTCAGGAACTGACCGTGCTTTCTGGGAAAAGCATTGCTTGCCAAGAAGGAAACACCTCGATCCGGCCCAGCCCTTGCACAGGGTGGGCTGCTCCCTTTGTCAGTTGCTCATCCCCCATTTTTGCTGTTGCTGGGTTTTATTTCAAGCTGCATTTGGACTCTAGACTAAAAGCCTTGAGGAGCTTTCCCTGCTCACAGAGCCTCAGCCTGCTCTGTCTCTACCTGTAAGTGATGCAATGGCACAGCAGCAATCATAACCGGGGCGGTCGAGGGCTCTGTACAGCACAGAAGAAATGCTGGCTTCAGCCTCAGCCCACGTCCCTCTGTCACTGTGTGGCCAGATGATGGGCTCAGCTCCTCCTCCCACTGCCAGCCCTGTGATGCAAACTGAGGGCTGCTGTCCTCTACTGAGCTGAGGAGCATCGGTTTGGCCACGTCTTCTCCTCCAGAGGCAGCCTGACTTCCTGCCTGTGTCACTGCTGTGCAATTTGCACCTGGGCTGCTCTACATCCAGGACAGCGTTTGCTTTCTGAGCCCTGCTCTTGCAGGCACGTTGCTGCTGTTGCAGCGTCTTCCCTCCTCTCCCTTTGCTCAGCCAGCTTCGATGCGATGCTCCTAAATTTAAAATCATAGCAAAAGCCTCCCACAATTACAAGCTGGAGTCTTCTCCAGACCTCAAAGTGCAAAGCGAGGAGCAGCCCGGCAGCAAGAGTGAGCCCAGGCAGCCCTGTGACAGCCAGGCAATGGCCACGAGCCCCTGAGCTGCCCCACATCACCAATTCCTCCGTGCTCACCAGTATCCCACCCCACTCTCTTTCACTCTCCAGCAGGCAATCTGTGCTCTGATGCTCCCCAAACTAAAGCAGCTTTCTGCCCATCCCACGGGCACAGAGCCCAGGGCACAACGTGGAGCTCCAAGAAGGGGCAAGCCTGTGCAAAGCCAGGGTTCAAGCCTCACCTTGGCCACCAGCCCGTGGCTTTGGCCAGCTTCCCTGGCTTTACTCTGCCCACATACACCAGCTTTCACCCTTCCTGTGTCAGGGCTTCGCGGCCTGCAGAACTGGTGCTGCTTCTTGGAGGCACTGCAGCCACAGAGCCATCCAGAACTGCAGCCGTGAGCAGGGGAGGTTCTCCAGGCAGCATTTCAGGAGCTGGAAAAGCTTCTGAGTGAAACAGGTTGGCCTGCAAAGAGCTGGGCACGCAGGTGATCTGTCCTAGCAGGAAAACACTGTTTGCTCAGGCATTTAAACATCTATCAAGGTTGCTGAAACTAAACTTAGCAATGTGACCAGCATGGCTTCAGTACCAAATTCAAGGCCTGACTGTTGCATGGCTTCCCTCTGCAGAGCTGTGCCCAGAAAAGAGACCAAGCAGTCACACCACTCAGCCACAAACTGTGCTGCTCACAGATCTCAGCATTTCTTCATCTCAATGGTGAACACTGCAGGGAGAGCTTCTTTTGATTGCTATCAGCAAAAGCAGCCTGCAAGAGAACTCCAAAAAAGTGCTGCTCATTCCTGGCACAGCAGTTCTGATTGAGACCAGCAACAGCTGAATGCATTTCATGGTACCCTGGGATGAACACAGCCACGATGAAGAGCCCAGAAATTGGATGGTTGGTGCAGAAAGCTGCGGCTGGGGGATGGTGGGAGTTCCTTCCAGCTGAGCTCAACGCTCAGGGATCCCCCCCCCCCAGATTCAGAGCTGTGTTCCTACAGCTCTGCAGCCACAGCTCCAAGGTGAGTGCTGCAGACACAGCACAGATGGGACAAGGAGCTGACGAACCAGCTGCAATTGGAGATGGACTCATCCCACGGTACGTGGTAGGAATGTGTTTGAAGGTCAGGAAATTCTTCTGCCTTCAGCAGCACTGAGGAATGCAGTGCAAATACCTCCTCAGAAACAAAGGTCGTGAGGTGGTGATGGATGAAGGAATGCCCACAGAGTGCTGTCCCACCAGAGTGCCCACCAAACCCTGTGGCTGCCTCTGGGCACAGAGGGGTCCATGAGCTGCCCCCCAAAAGGCTGGGGGGGAGATGACCACCTCTGTGGGGTAGCAGGGACCCAGCCTGAAGGCAAGCACAAAACAAAGCTGCAGAGGAAGCTTGGCCCCAAGGCGGACCCCAGAGCCATTTCTCCTCGTGTAAACACCACAGCTTTGCACAATGGGGGCTTGTTTACACCAGCGGAACGCCCGCATCCTTCCAGGCTCAGAGGTACAATGTTGATGCTGCTCAGCAGGAGCTCAGAGTTCTGGCAAGACTTTCCCAAAATCAACAACTCTCTATAGAGAGCCACAGCAGGGCACGCACTGAAGTTGGTGTGACCTCAGTCCTGATAACAGCTGTGGTCCCACTCCTCCCGAGCTCAGCCTAAGGGAACAAGGACAGTGTGAGGGCACCAGTGCTGCTGGTCATCTCCTGATATTCGACTGTACTGAGCATGGATACAGGATGCTCAGAGCAAGTCCTCGGTGCCAAGCGCAGCAACAAACCTAAGTTAGGGGAGAAAACCCTACCAGCTTTTCTCTATTTCTTTGCTGTGCATTTGGTGGCATGCTCTGCCTGGCTGCTGGCCTCTCCTTTTGCTTACACAGACTCTGCAAAGAGAAACAACAAGATTGGACCTAGCAGACCCTTGTGAAAACACCAGAGAGAGCCAAGGGGAAAGGATGGACACTCAGACTGCTGCTAATGCAACCCTCAAACTGCCAACGGCCTTAAACTGTGTTTTCTCTGGATGCAGCTCACAGCACCATCCAGAACCAAACATCAGGACAAGCATAACAGCACCGTAAAGCCAGCCCTGATTTGCTTGTTTTCCTTCCAAACCAGGCTGTGATCCCCAGCACCTGGACCACAACCACATCCTCGTGCAGCTCAAAGCTCTGCAGGGTGGTGTGCAAGGAACAAAACCCCACGTGGCTGCGCCGTCCTCACACCTCCAGCACAGGGGATGGGCAAAGGGGTCCCATCCAGGTGGAAGCTGTGGGAATGGCTGAAGCTGAGGGCAGCTCCTGGGCCGGTCTGCTGCTGGGCTGCAGCTTTTTGCTGTCAGGATCTGCTGCTGGGATCTGCTGGCAGCGCATCCCGATGCTGCACTTGGATGCTTTGGGCTTGCCTAAAAACCACACGAGTGCAGAGGTCGGCATTTTCGCTGTAGAAACAACTTGGGTTTTAGCACATGAAAGAGTAAAAAAGCACTCAGAAGATCCAGGAAAGGTGAGGGACAGGAGGGTCTGATGATCACCAGGCTGCTGGTTTGCAGGGACGAACCATCAGACTGCATCTCCCATATCCAGCCCTGCCATCTCACCGAAGGAAAAACCAGTTCTGTTTGTTTGTCAGTCAGAGCTGAAGGAAGCACTCCCCACACCCCTCCCACGAAGGATCTGGACACGGAGGCAGCAGAATAAAACAAACACAGGCAGCCTAACATTTCAGGCCCCGCTTTGTTTGTTTAACCCTCTGCTTTCTCAAGCTGTGGCAGCAATGCCATCCCACGCTGACCCAACCCATCCTGCCAGCGTGGCTGGCTCTGATTTCAGACCCCTCTGCCACTTTCACTGCCTTCTGCTGCGATTGTGGCCCTTTTCCTCCCATTTTAGTCTCCTTGATTCAGCTTCCTTCACACTGCTCGGTGTAAAATTAGTGGCTCCAAAGCCAATCTCTTCCTGCAGGCAGGAAATCCCAGCCCCAGCTGCTTGCCTCGCTCCAGCGCTGCACCAACACTCCCCCTCCTTGCTCAGTCTGAGCTTCTCCTTCCCAGACCCCGCTTCTATAAAATCCTAATAACTCCCCCTGCACCTGGGGAAGGAGGAAAGCCTTCGCCCCAAGCCCATCCTTGCATAAATTGGGGTATTTGTGCCCTCCTCCATCCCATATTTCACTCCTCCAGAGGCCGCTGTGAGCTGACAAAGCTGTGCTCCACGTATTTGCCAGCACCACGGGGCCAGATCCTGAACCACGCCAAGCATTCCTCAGGGGCAGGCAGCTGGGTGTGAGCTGTGCTGCAAACAAACCTCCCTGTCAGGCTATTCTTGTTACCTTGATGAAGTTTTATCCCAGCAGGCGAGGCTGATTGAAGCTCCAATGGCCGCACACAGATTGCTGAGTGAGGGAAACTTCACCCCACAGGCATTGCTGGCTGCAGCCATCCCAGGCTCTGTGTGTTTGTGTGCCTGCTTTGCTTTGCTTCCTCCTTGCTCCCACCTGCCTGCATCACGCTGCCTTTCTGCAGAAGTCCCAGCATCTTCCCTCGATCCTCAGATCACCTGCTCCAAAAATTCCACCCTGGAAAACTTCCTGAGTGCTCCTTCCCCATGGAAAGCCCCCAAGGAGGAACCCTGTGTGGTACCACGGGTAAAAAATCCCACATCTGGATGATTTGGAGGCAAAGGGCACCTCTCGGGGTGGTCATTGCCAGGGTGCAGGCAGAGCGAAAGCAAACACAGTGGGACTCAGCTACTTAACACAACCAACCTCCAAGCTGAGCCTGATCTCATTGAAATCTTTCAGGATTGGCAACAGAAACACAAAGAGGCACAGCTGGAGGATCCTCACTGTCACCCCCACCCCTCAGTCCAACACATCAGCAGCGTTTTAGCCTGCCACGGGGAAGGGGAAGGGTTAAAATCCACCCCTCTGCCTCTCCTGGAGCTCTGCACATTCCTCAGCCCTGTCCAAACCCAGGTCACATTCCCTTTATCTCAGCTTTGTTTAATTAGTCAGCCATTAACGAACACTTCTGGCAGCCAGGAGTAAACTAAAATAGAGCAGAATATTCCCCAATGCTGGCAAGCTCCCCAGCCTTACACCACCACGGGTTGGGAGCTCACTCTTACCTTTCAAAAGTGAAAAAACAATGAAAGAAAGATTGAGGAGCCCACAAGCACTGATTTCCCCTGGCACGCTTCCCTCTTCCCCAAGCATTCCGTGTCTCTGCAAGGAGTTGGTGCTCCACACAACTCTGTGCACCCAGAGCATCGGGGAGAGCCTCAATGTGGGCAAAGCTCCACTCCTGAGATCTCTGAGCTGCTCCAAATGGATCTCATTAAACAAGAGACCGAATGGGAAAGCAACGGCGCTCTGGATCAGAACAAACATCACAGCCCTGACTGCCCCACAGGGATGTTTTATGGGGGTTCTGAGCTCACCGTGCAGGCAGCCAGGGACACCCCACCATCCTGTGCTTCCCATGGGATCGTTTTGCTTCCCATCAGCTGGGAAACATTAGCCAGCACTGAGCCCTTCCTCTGCACAACACGTGCACCAGGTGCAGCAGAGCAGGAAGCCTGCTCCAAAGAGATATTCCTTTTTCAAGTCCAATTCCAGAGCAGCACAGATGTGAGTCTCAGCTTCACCCCCACCTCGGTCCGAGAGGAATGACTCCCCTTTTTTATGGGCTCAAACCAAGCAGCCTCAGGCTCTGCCTCCCATAAAAACACAACCAGAGCAAAGAGAGTCCCCTGCTCGCATCAGCCAGAACTGAGCTTGCTGCCTCCAAAAACCAGCTCAGCAGATTGGAGGGCAAACAACCTGCTCCAGCAGCAAGGTGGAGAGTGCCCCATTGCTCTGCATGTTTCCAGCACAGTCAGCCTCGCCCGGACTTGAAAAGCAAAGAAACTTCCTCCGAGCAGCCTTCCCTCAGTGCTCACCCCCTGCCAAACCCTGCCTGAAACTCATTAACAAAATATAGCAGCAAGATTCTGCATTACTCACCATCACCTTCCTGCAAGCCAGAGGGGGAAGAAGGAAGGAAAACTGCTGCACAAGGAACTCTGAGTGGGGCAGGAGGACACAGGGCTGAGGAACACCAGCACAGAACGGGGGGGGGTTTGGGGCCCCAGCTGTGCTCCCGACTCTGCAAACTTCCCAATTCCTCTGGAGCCAGGCAGGACTGGGACATCCTGAGCCCTGTGGATGGGGTGAGATGGGCTCTCACTGTCCCCCCCCCCCTTCTTGCATGCTGAAACTGGGTTTGTGAAACAGACCAGCTTTGCTCCCCTGCATCCTCAGCAGGACGAGCAGCACACGGACAGGCATGGAAACAGAGGGTGAAGCTGTGCCAAACCCCACGCTGCTTCCTGGTGCCGCAAGCCTTGCTCTAAGGTTGAGCCACCCAAAGAACGGGTTCCTCCCAGCTCCACACCACCTCCCTGCAGGCTCCCACCTCCGTGCCGTGCTGCCATTACCATTTTCCAGGGCTGGAAGTGGCTCCGGCTGCTCTCACCCACGCTGTGAGGATCCGTTGGCAAGCGAGGAGGGAGGGAAGGAGGAGAGGAGCTGTGATCAACAGCTGCGAGGCTCGGAAGGGTTAACAGTGAAGCTTGTAAGAAGTGGAACAGGAATAGAGGAGATTTGAGCCGGGAGCCAATGAGGCAGCAACATTTGAAACAAAGCAGCCAGTCAAATGTCCCGGCCGTGGAAACAGGGAAGGACAGAGAGGGGAAGGTGGGAAGCCCGTGGCCTTTCCGGCAAGTCTCTGCTCATGTGGGTGTTCCTTACACCACTTCCAGGTCCCTCACCCATCCTGAAAGCAGGGGCTGTATGTGGCCAGAAGTGCTGACTCCTCTCCTTGCAATTTCAGCTGGCAGTTAAGAGCTCTGGTTCAGGAACAGCAGCCCCAAAACCTGCTGGGGGGACACCAGGATGCTCAGCAGGGCTCCTAGAGCTCATCCAAGAGCTGTAAGCCTCACCTAAGGGTGAGGATCACGGCTCGAAGCTCTGCTTTTTCATCTGTTTGCCACACAGATGAGCAGCCTGCTGCTTCCTAAGGAGCAGCAGTGTGAGCTGGGTGATCCCATGGGGTGGGCACAGCTTTCCATGAGAAGGAATTGTCCCTGTGCAGACCCCGAGCCTTCGGTGTGAGGATCTCCAGCTGGAAATCAAGGCTCTGATGTTAGGGTGCACGTTTCCATTCTCTCTTCTCTGATTTTGCCCAGAGGAAACGCTCTTGAATTGGCCCAATTAGTTGGCATGTCTTGCAAATGAACTTCTCCCCCCAGCAGCCTCTATTGGCAACTTGGCACAACTCAGGGGCAGCTCGAGCTCTGCTGCACGGGAGTGAAGGCAGCAGGTGGTGAGTGGGACAGGGAAAGCAAATGACAGGGCAGCTGCCAGCCCTGCTCCATCCAGCACAGCCCAACAGCATCTCCAAGAGGTCTGTGCAGCTCAGTTCTTATTTAAATGCCTTTTTACAAGCAGGGAGGGGGAAACACAAACAAAAAAAACAGCAGGGTTGTGAATGTTAATCACCTAGCAGGGTTTACAACTAGATTGCTCACTTCCCATTTGTCCTCATTTTCCTCTTCCTTGTTCTTTTTCAGAGCGTTCACGGACCAAAATATTTACAGCAGCCTTGCTACACTGCTAAGTGGCACTGGGAAGCTTTCCTGGAATCATGGGAGAAAGAGGTGGAAAAAAAAAAAAGAGGATCAGCAGATGAGAACAAACCTCTCCCAGCATTGCCTCCCACCTCATCCTGGTGCCTGCAGCACCCGTGCACAGTGCTGGCATCACCCACCTGGGGTCACCTGAGCCCTCATAAAGCAAACCAGGCTGAATTACAGCATTCACAGCTTTTCTTATCTTTCAGGAAAGGAGAAAACAGCAGCGGAGAGCTGGGCAGAATGCTGATGTGGGAATGAGCTGGAGCTGCTGTGTCTCTCCCAATCGAAGAGGCAAAACTCATTTGTCCTTCTGGAAAGTTGTTTCCCTGATACAGAACAAGCAGCAGCTTCAACACCTCCCATTTTCAGTCATCAAAAGCTGCTGTGACTACAGAAATCCACCAGCTGTTCTGCTCAGCTGCCAAGAAGCACAAAGAGCCCCCAGCAGCAATTTTAGAGTCTTGTGAAACGCGCTAATTAATTCATAGAAAGATAAAAGCACATCAAAGGAAGTTTCTACCCCCGTATCTTTCAGAATTTTAACTAAATTAGCAGAAGCACATCCTGCCAATCCTCGCCTTGCAGACAAACCCAACGTGGCCTCAGTGCCACCAATGGAACTCCCCATGCAGAGCTGCACCCAGAGCACAGCTCAGAGCACCTCTGCCCACACCAGTGATGCCCTGCTGCTCTGCTTCCCTCCTGCTGCACACAGCCAAGCTTCAAAATGCAAAGAGATATCAGCTCTCAAAGCCTTCACCTCCCCCTTCCCCCCCCTAAGACTGTGTAATGCACGCTGCAGGCTCAGCTATTGCATTTTATTTGGCAGTAAAGTTCTCACGTGGTTTCAGGCTCTGAGCTCACACGCACAGCAGCCCAGCAGTGCAACCAGAAGGGATCCCAGCCCTTGGGGCTCCATTCCAGCCACGCCATGGAACTGGAAATGGCATTTCCTTGACAGCATCGTGCCCTCCACGGGTGGGACTTGAGCCCTGCGTTGTTGGAGCAATGAAAGCAGCACATCTGCGTGGAAGTGGGGCAGAGGAGCCCTCCCAGAACCATGGGATGTCATCCACCAGGTGTTTGTCATGCTGAGACAGTGCTGAGGGTGGCACAGCTCAACGCTCACTGCAGCACGGAGGCACTGCTGTGCTCAACCTGCCAGCAGGGTGGTAGAACTGGCCAGGCTGGCTTTTGCACAACCTTCAAAGAGCAGAGAGATGCCCTGCTGCCAGGCTGGGCAGGGCTGAAGAACACCAGGAGGACCCAGAGTCCTCAGGCAGGAAAAAAGTCCAAAAGGAGTGCTGTGAACCGTGTGGCCGACCCACCTGAAGGATGGGATGCCATTCAGCAGGGCCAGGAGAACCTCGTGGAGTCCAACAAAGCCACGTCCATCAGTACACCCCAATCATTCTCCCATCAGCAGACGACCCCAGAAGATCATCCACGTTTCCCTCAACCTGCAGAAACACCCTGAGCCTCCGTGCTGCACTGCTGGGGTGCCCCAAAGACATTGGTTTGGGTTGAGCCACCCCAAATTCCAGTGAGCTGACCTGCTGGGTAGCCTCTGCCAAGCTCTTCCAGAAAGTTCAGGCACTTTGAGTGAGAAATTCACTTCAATTTTCCCTTTTTCTGCCCACGCAGCAGCCTGCGGGGTTGCCCAGCGATGACTCAGTGCTGAAGGACTTAACACAGGTTTCTGGGAATCTATTCCTGGTTCTTTTCCTGCTCTGCTTTGTGAGGAGGAGCGTCACCTCGGCACATGAGAGTCTGCTTTAAACAGAGCAGAGCAACGCTGGCTTCTCTGGGAGGAAACTGACTGCAAAGAGCTCTGAGATCTTCAGAGGAAAAGTGCTGGAGAGTGATGGGATCACAGCTTGGCGTGGGTTGGAAGTGACCTAAAGGATCATCGTGGAAAGAATTTGAGTCCTTCACACTCAAAACCAACCAGCAAGAAGAAGAAGAAACAACAGGTGAATGGATTTGCAGTGCTCAGCACGTTCTGTACAAAGTCTGTTACCTTATTCCCTCCAGCTCTGGCTGGCTGTGGACTGGCACAGTCGGATAAAGCATGGCCACTCACTGCCCAGAAGCACTTCTCAGCCTCAGTACCCGTGGAATGACATCTCATGCAGAGGGGGGCTGCTCCCCCTGCTCCCACAGACACCATTTGTGCCCTGAAACCTGAGCTCCAATTACCCTTATCTCGGTTTCCAGAGATACAACCAAGAGCACTGCAGACCCAATTTCTCCCTTTCATGCAAAACTGACTGCATACACATAGATGACATCTCAGCAGTGCTCCCTCTGCTCCGCTGACTGCAGGGCTTCCTCAGCATCCTCGAGAGCAAGCAGAGAGATGCTGGCCTGCTCCGTGGGTTCCTGCAAGCCTCTCCTTGAGCTGGAGGCTGCTTCACCACTCCTCTCTCATTCTGTCTCTCACTGGGAGTTCTCTGGTGTCAGATGAACCGCTGTGGGAAGGGCGAGAGGATAACAGCCTAGGGCAGCAGAAAGCATTCATGCAGAAAGCAAACGCGGAGGCGAGCTGGGAGTTTGCAGCACTGGGGGGCACACAGAGCCCCCTTCCAGGCAGCATCACACAACACTGCTCCATGGAAGGCTGCTGCAGAACCCTGACCCAAAAGTAACAGAATCCCTACCAGCTACGTACCTTGCAACAGAGCTTTTAACCAGAAAGATGCCATTTCAGCATCGTTTCACGCAGCCCCCTTTCGGGCTCTCTGTTCAGGCAGTATAAATGATTCAATCACAGCGTGGAACATCACACAGGCACCTTTTTGGAACAGGAAGCATCAAAACACCCACAACTCACCCGCTCCCAGCAGGGGTTACCCAACCCCACCAGCAGGTCAGACAAACAAGTTCTGTGTTGCACCAAAGATCCCTTTGGTCCGGGGTGGAGGAATGCAATCCACCCCCACTGCCTCGATTCTGAGCACTGAGCAGCCAGAGCTGTGTGAAGCTCCTCGTCTCTCGGTGCTCCTGCTCTGCAGCAATGGCTGCACTGCATAAAGAACAGTGAACACAGCCCTGCCCCAGGTCACGGTGACAAAACCCAACAGCATTCCCCCACCGCATCCCAAATCCTGCTGTTTCTACAACCTTCGCCTTGCTGTTGTCCTCTTAGCAGCCACTGGAATCAAAACAGACATTCACAACAAAAGGATAATGATGCACAGCAGGGAAAAGCCATGCAGGGACATCACCTGCCCCAACCCCCCAGAAGGGACCCAAAGCTTCAGATGATCAACAGGTGCTAACGAAGCCCACTCGTTAGCGCACAACCTGCCCCAGCAGCCCTGCAGGGGAAGGACTTGTAATGATGATTTTAATGTAAGCTGGCAGTGGATTGTATTCCCCAATGCTTAAGGATCACTAATGAAGCTATGGGAGATGCTCAGCACAGCACCCAGCAGCGCTGCCCCGATCCCACACCAGAACAAGGAGGTTCACCTCGCATAGCTGACAGCTGAAATCTTTGTCTTCGGTAGAAAAACCAAACCAAACCAAACCCCCAGAGCCACAGTGCCAAACCCAAGGCCTCCTCTTACGGTTAACAAGACCAAAACATCTCAGCCCCTTCCATTTTCTCATCACCCTCCTGCACCCCCCAACTACAGTTTATTTCCTCTAAGCGCACGGCACAAGGAAAGGAAGAGCTGAACAAGCACAGCTCTGAAGAACTACATTTTCATTACATTCCAAAGAAAAAAAACTAAAAAAGAAAAAGCCAGCAAATCCTCCAGGATGCACCACGCCAGCTGGGAAGGCTGCTCTGAAATGTGAGCTGCACCTGTGCCAGGCAGATCTCCCTCTGAAACCCCAAACCAGCACAGCTCCTGTTCCCAGGCACACGGTGAGGCCTCTTCCCTTCCTCTGCTGGCCTCAGGAGAAACAACTTCGTGTTAAATAAAAACGGTGTGATTGTAATTAGGCTGCATGGAAGCTGCCAAACGTCCCTGGGGTTTCTGCTGGCACTCACAGGGCTGCGTCCTTTGTCCTCCATCCCACCTGGAGTGCAGCACAACTGAACCCCACGTGTTGGTACCCAACACCAAGGCGTGTTATCTCTGCTTTACTTCACTGCCTTCAGAGACAGGACAGAAATGGGCTCCTCCTGGTTCCGTGCATCAAAGGAAGAAACAGAGAGAAAAGCAAAGCTCCCCAGGGCTGCACAAAGAACAGCAGAGCAGTGACAACAGCCAGCAGGTCACGATGGCACCGGGCATCATCCCCAACATGCACAGAACTGCTCAGCATTCAGCAGTGCCCAATCAGCCACAGAAAGCTCCATCCCCACGGGATGTAAAGTTACACCTCCTTCTTTTCCCTCTGCCAGCCACAAATCATTCACCTGAGAAGTCGAGCACTGAGGAATCAAACCCACAACACAGAACCAAAGGAAGGCCTCATAAGAAGCTCACCGTGCTCCAAGCACCACCTCTCCTGTCCTGCTGCTCCAATGCCACGGGGATGGAGGTGCAATTTATGTCCCTTTTCATGTCCACTCAAACAAATTCACCTTTGCTGCAGCGCTTGGGTGACTCACAGAGATCAGACACACAGAGATTCAGCCCAAACATCAATAAAAGAGGCAACGCAGCAGCACAAAGGACGGTGAGAAGCCCAGAGCAAAGCCCTGTGAGTTTTTGTTTTTATAGGGCCTGCTTCCTCCTGACAGATTTGATAAGTGCCAGCAAAACAAATGTCCTCCCTGCAGATGCAAATAAAGATATCTGGAAAACATCTGGGAGTTGTAACAACACGAGGGAGCAGAGCACGAGTTTCCATTCAGCTGAGGTGCAAACACAACCTAAGCTGGCAGCAATCGTTATCTTGTTGGTATCTTCCCTGGAAAATTCTGAGGTTATTCCAGCTGCTAAATGCATTCTTTTGGTTAATTACCTTCGTTTAGGAAAGTCACGGGTGGCGTTGCAGCAGAACAGAACACAGGCAACATTTCTGAACACCACAAGTTGGAAACATCAGCCAAAGACAACAGCACAGCAATGCATCCACAGAGCCTCACGTTTCACAAACCAGCAATTCATACCCAACTCCTATAAACCCCCCTCCCTCCCCAACCTGCCCCGGGAACAACAAACACATCCCACAGGTTTAGAAAGAAACCAGAAATTAGGAAACTTCCTTCAAAGGCCACCAGGATTGGCTGCCATTCGCACCAGCAGCAAACAACCAAATCCTTTGGCTGCTGCTCAAACGGGGTTTATTTAAACTTCCTCTGCACACCTCAGCTCTGCTGCTCAAACTCAATTTGGGGGTTTATTTAAACATCCTCTACACCCCCCAGCTCTGCACCTTCCCCAACGCCAGGCTCCACAAACACAAATCGCAGCCATTCGGGCCGCTTCAAAAAGACACAAACCCAACCCAGGGCTGTTGGCTGTACCTGTGGGCTCCCCCCCAATCCTGCAGGGATGGACAGATCCCCAAATTCGGGTCATTTTTGAGAGGGGG